CAAGATCACACACACTTATAAATCTGTTGTTTGTTTAAAGTAATCGAAAGTAGGATTAATAAATAAATCGTATGTCACAATTATAACACAGTAAAATAAATTGCAAATATTACTTCTCAACAAGTGGACCAAGCAAGTCGAGACCAGGTTTGATTTCAGCCTCTGGATCGCTTGTTTCGACAATGGTGGACACAATAGCAAGATAGTATCCTCTAGCACAAACACAATGAGTGTCAGATACACTAGCAATATAAATATCTACAAATTTATAAAAAATGATAAAAGCGATAAGTATATAGTTAAAGAAATAAATATAATAAACTATACAAAATTTCTAAATAAACTTAGCTTACCATGTTGCCTTTTAACTTGATTCTGTGGAATCACTAATTGAATAGAGTCTGCGTTGTCAGTGTTAGGTATGGGATGTTTTAGGATGCAGATAGCACGGATAACTTTTCCAACTTTACGGACTTTATCTTTAAAATAGGATGGATCACCGATAACTTGTTTTGTCTTGGCAGTCTATAATTAAAATTTTGGTTAGGAAGTATAATTACTAAATATTCGATCACAAGTTCATTTAAGAATGTTTCATACCTCGTCACCCGAACGTACACCGCAAACACGGCCATCCGCATCATAGACGATTTCATCGACTGCTTTATCGAGCATATAAGTACCACCATAAATAGCACTCAGTCTATGAAACAAATTCAGATATAAATTTATGTTTTATAATGCAGTGATATATAAAGAAAAATCGTACCGTGCAAAACCTTGAGGCAATTCACCCAAACCGTACAATGGGTAAATGTAAGGGCTCTTTCCATAACGAGCCACAGAGGAAATGTAAAGAATGATTCTGTCATAACTCTCTCGGGCGGGTCGTTCAATGTAGCTAAAACGTGTAAATTATTTTAATACTAAGTTATACAAATGATGAAACAGAGGAATCTCAAATATCACATACGATTCATCTAAATACAGGGCCATAGCATGACCAATAAAATCTTGAGTTCCAGATTCAAGACCAAAATCTGAATAAACCTTAGACATTGGTGCAGTATTTAAATCAATGCCTTTAAAAAAAAACAGATTAAATTAGTTAATATGTCATTATTGAATAATTTGTAGTGGTAGTTAACTTATAAAGGTAATTATTACCTTGGTGAGTAGATGGATCATCCTCTCGCCAGTTTTGCATATACTCAAAAAATTTCTTTGCTCTTCTTTTCTCAAACATTCCCATCAAACTGCTGCTAAGAGCTTCCATTTCACTAGCAGGAACTTTAGAGATTTTTCCTTCACGATATACATAAGAGCCAGAAATTTGTTTAAATTCAAGGTAACGTGTAACATCGGTATGAGTAAGAATTCTGACAAGTTCTCCATTGGCCATCATAAATTTGGGAATGAGATCAATATTATAATCACGATCACGTCCCAATTCACTAGGTGGTTCTTGCCCATTACGGAATTTTCGGTAAAGCTATATAAAAAATGGTTTATATGAGGACAAACTGAGACTTAATCGTCCACATTCAAAAAAAATCAATATCTTTTAATGTACATATCAATAAAAGGGTATATTTGATTAAATTACAGTAAAAATTGTCTTTGTAAATAAATTATATCACTACATTAAACGGTAATAAGGTCAAATTATAGAATTTCTAAATATTTCTCGATAAGGTTTATCAAAACAGACGTCATGTTAGGTGATGACTTTATTATGAATCTTTACCTGTGTTAAGTTTAAACTGGCACTTTCACCACCATAATAGTCGTTCCTATCCATATGAAGGACCTTTTTTCCTTCAACAGATAGTAAACCGGAGAGAATACATTCAGTTAGGCCAGTTCCTAGAACGATAACATCGTACTCTTCATCCTGCAAGTAAAAAGGAGAAAGGTTAATACAAATTCTACAACTTAAAATTGGTGTTAAACAAAACTAAGAAGTCCATAATACGAGCAGGTCATCCATTAACATACCATGGTTAACAAAAAGCAAAGGGATTAGTTGTAGGAATTAAAAAGTGTAGAGATCAAGAAAACGGGCGACAATTCATAAACGAATATTAACGGATCAGCAACTTATATCCCGAAGGTTGATTGTGTTACGTACAGTATTTTATCGAACACCAATGTAATTTTATCAATGGATAAAATTGATCTTTCAAGCATGCAGGAAAATCGAGAACTATTGGCAAATTATATCAATATCAGAACTATATATTACAGCAAATTATATTTAATGTCCGGCCCATTAAAAATCTAATTTTATTAGAAATTACGGTTGTGCTTTTAATTTGATAAATCTGACTACTACGTCGCCAAGATGATTCCCTTTCACAAATATCAGGATATAGGATACAAAAATGTCACGTATCACCAATAAATATTTTATAGTCACGTATGCACTTTTTAGTCATCTACATCTTTAAAAAAACTAGGTACCCAATATTCATTGGGATATGCTTGTTCATCTATCCAACAAAGGCCATCCGCAAGTAATGTATCCTATTAAAAATACAATATTTTTATCAAATAGTGATACAAATAAGAGGAAATAAACAAACTTAAAAATATAATACTTACTATAACATCATTTATACGCTCTATTCCCCATCCCAATTCAGATTCTATCATATCTTTAGTGATGTAACCCTTTGCCTATAAAACGACCAATAGTGAATATTAAGAGAGTATGTGACCTTTCGAAAATATTTTCAACAATTATTATACCTGTGCCAAAGCCAAAATTTCGGACTGATCTATGTTTAGTTCTCGTGGGATTGACCTTACCATTTTTCTATCACCAATTTGTAATATTTCAAACCCATTACCTAACGGCTTGAGGGTCTTGATAGAGCGTATGACGTCATCACTAAATACAATATAAGTTTAATGCTAATGATAAACACTAAAATGAAAATGATAATACGAAAAAAAAACATATTGGCACTAGACTTACTCACTGATCTCTTGTGATGAATTAGATCCACCAATTCCATTATTACTATTACCTCCACGCATTTTTACCAATTGTCGTTTCAACTCATCTAGCTCAATCAATCCTCCATTTCTGCCTCGAGTGGATAAACAGATTTCAATGATTTGCACGCCAAGTTCATAATAAAAGTCGCCTACCCCTAAAAATTCTGCCCAAAATCCTTTATTTGCTATATTCATGCATAAGATTATAATTTTAATATTTATCCATGTATGGAAAAATGAAGAATAAAATAAAAGATTACATGCAAGTGGATCAACTCCAATATTACTACACATTTTCTGAAAATGTGCTCTAAACATAGGATTCTTACGAATGTCTTTACGGTATTTGCGAGCAAACTCTTCGAGATTTGTTTTGAAAACTTGAAGTTGATCTTTT